TTTTGAGCGTTGTCGGAGTCTCTTGAATTGTCGTGGAACCATCTGAGGCCGTCTTGGAGCGCTCTTGGGCCGTCTTGGAACCGTATTGGACCTCTTTGGGGCCGTATTGTGCGCCTGGGGTGGTCGAAATTCGCTCGGTGGGGAGGGGAAGGAAACATTCGCGCGCTGTTTCTGGTTGGCCATGCCTATTGGAAGCAAGCGCAACGGCTGAAGTGAAAGCGGTAAGCTTGCCACGATCGCCCGTGGGCTTGTGTTGTCAGTGCTTTCATACCGTTAGCTTGTTATGCGTAGGAATGCGTGTCAGATGAGTCGTCGCCCTCAGTCCTCTCTCTGATGCTGCTCGTCCTCATATTGTCTCAACTGCAATCCCTCATTCCCTCGCTCATTCTGCCTTGCCGCCCTCGCCCCCCTTCCAACGAATTCGTAATCTGACTTCTCTTCCACATCCTCCCGTGTCTCCTCCTCGTCCTCCTCATTCTGCAATGCCGCCATTGTTTTCAGATCCCTTATCGATGGTTTGATTCAATGTTAATTATCTTGCGAATCTCACCCGCCCTCGAGGGCGTGAATGGTTGAACGAGGTAGTTATTATCACCCCGTTCTTCCGCTTCGGGGAGGGGGGGGAACCCTCTCTGCCCCCCCCCCCCTGGTATGGACCCCTCCTGCGAAGCGTCAGGGCGTCAAAGATGGCCGCGATTGGCTCCAGGAGGGATCCAAGCAGCCCGAGATGGCCTCCAAGAGCGCAGAAGGTAGCCCAAGGTGGTCCAATATTAGGCGGCGAGCAACGGGGGGAAGTGAGAAGGGGCGTGCCTTCTCAGAAGGCTCGGAAGTCCCCCGGACTTCTGAGAAGTTTTCTAAGCCTTCCCCGAAGACAGAAAAAACTTCTCAGAAGGCGCGAGGGCTTCTGAGAAGTCCCGCCGCCTTCTGAGAAGGCCTGCTCCTTCTGACTTCCCCCCCTCGCTCGCCGCCGAAAGATAGCTTCGAGCATGCCTCCAAGAGGAGGCCGCAAGACCGCCCCCGCGGCGGCCGCAGGTGGCCGCACGGCGCCCCCGAAGCAGGCCCCCGAGAGGTCAACAGTACTGGTGGTCAGTGCCGGTGGCCTCCTCGCCGCCTCGTGGCCGAAGCTCGCCCGAGGCGTCCGGGCAGCCCCAACACTGCCAAGAGGGCACCAGGAGGTGCCCACGGAAGGCGGCCACGAGAGCGCGCAGGATGGCACCAAGGAGCAACATGTGAGGCTTCGGCGCGGGGCGGCAGTCGGCGTCGCCGCCGATTGTGCGCGACGGCTTCCAGGATGGCCCCAACAGGGGACCCCACGGCGCCCAAGAAGGCTCCGAGATATATGGAACAGAGCTTCACGAAGGTCCTGAGAGAGTTCCAAGGAGGATCCCTAAAGGGTCTCCAAGGAGAGCCCAAACTGCTTGGCTTCCGAAACGCACCGAAGCTGGCTCGAACGAGGCTCTACGAAGACTCCAGCTGCAATCTTGCACGCCTCCCTCATTCATTGTGTGCCTATCTATGCGCCTACTCGACACAACTCTCCTGAACATCGTTTCTGAACGTGCTGGTGGGGATACACGAATGAATAAGGATTGGTACTGGCTTCCGAAATGCTGGCTGCCAGGCGTCCCCATACCACGCTCGCGGACGAAGCATGCCAGATTGGGATTGCTACTGGGGGTCTCCTTGCGGCCGTTCCAGTTTTCTGTGGTGGGATTCTCGTGTGGAACTGATTGTATCGCTTAGTCTGCGGTTTGGGGGGCCCCGTGGGTTCCTGCTGCAACTCGATTTGGTCTTCTTTTATGCATACGCGGGGCTCCTGGGAGCCTCATGTGTGCGTTGTCGGGGCTTCGTGGGGGCGCCTTGGGGGCCACTTGTGTGCGTTGTTGGGGCGTCCTGGGGGCCTCTTAGGGGCGTCTTGAGAGCCTCTTGGATGCGTCTAGGGGGCGTCTTGAACACGTCTTGGAGCCCCTTGTGGGCCTCCTTGGGGCTCATTGAGCCTCGTGAGGGCTTCTTGCGGCTCGTGGGGGCCTCTTCTTAAGAATGTACTGGAAGCTTTGTCAGGGCCTCTCAGGGGCCTTTTGGGGTCGCTTGAGCGCCTCTTGTGGCTGCTTCGGGTCGCGTGAAGGCGTCTTGAGAGCCTCTTGGGGGCCTCTTGGGGCCCACCGTGAGACCTCGGAAGGTCATCTCAGAGGACAATGCCAGGAAGGCGAAACCTGTCGATGTTCCATAAGTGTTTTCGGGCGTAGCCCGAATCTGTTTCTCGCTAAGTAAGCTCCGACTGACTCACTGACTGACCGACTTACTGACCACTGGCTGGTCGCACCCGTTTCGCGACTGCCTTATTCTCGGCGGTCGAGGGCGCAACCTATGGCGCAACCACTAGGAGACGGTCTTATTCTCGGCCGCCGAGGGCGCAACCTGTGGCGCAACAAATAGGTGACGGTGTGATTCTCCGCCGCCGAGGGACAAACCTATGGCATGGGGAACTGGTTTACTCTCGGCGGCCGAGGGCGCAACCTATGGCCCAACCAATAGGAGACTGGTTTATTCTCGGCCGCCGAGGGCGCAACCTATGGCGCAACCTATGGCGCAACCAATAAGAAACGGTATTATTCTCGGCGGCCGAGGGCGCAACCTATGGTGCAACCAATATGACACGGTTTTATTCTCGGCGGCCGAGGGCGCAACCTATGGCGGAAACAATAGGAAACGATCAGATGTTCCGCCGCCGAGGGCGCTACCTGTGGCGCAACCATAGGAGATGGTCTTATTATCGGCCGCCGAGGGCGCAACCTACGGCACAACCACTAGGCGACGGTTTTATCATCAGCCGCCGAGGGCGCAACATATGGGGCAACCAATAGGAGACGGTTTTATTTTCGGCCGCCGAGGGCGCAACCTATGGGGCAACCAATCTAAGACTGTTTCATTCTCGGCGGTCGAGGGCGCAACCTATGGCGCAACCACTAGGAAACTGTTTTATTCTCGGCGGCCGAGGGCGCAACCTATGGCGCAACCGATAGGAGACGGTTTTATTCTCGGCGGCCGAGGGCGCAACCTATGGCGCAACCAATAGGAAACCGAGGAACAGGAGGGAGATGAGGAAGACGAGGAGGATGAGAAGGAGGACGAGGAGGAGGACGACGACGATGATGATCAGGATGGGGAGGACGGGGAGGAATACGAGTAGTACGAGGACGAAGTGTGGGCATTCGAATGCGTGCGGGGCTACGCCCGATGTATGCTCGCCGTTTGGGCTGGCGGTGGGGCCCAAGCGGCGAGCTGTCTTGTGATTGAAGGAGTTTAGCTCCGTGGGCGCCTCCTCGGGGGCCTTCTTGGGCACTCGTGTGAGCACATTCGGCCGTCTTGTGAACAACTTGAGCCATCTTGGAGCAATCCTGGGCCGTCTCGGGAACCTCCTGGACTGTGCTGAGGATACGTCGGGCTCCCTGAGGCCGTGTCGGAACATGTTGTGTGCCGCCTCGGAGAGGCCTGGGATCCATGCCACCCCCATGGGGCCTGGAGTGCGCCCTTAGGGCCCCCCAGCCCTGGACCCCGGGTATGTGTATATGTCGATGCATACTTACATGTACATACAAAACATAAATACAGACATGGACGCATGCATCTACATATGCAGATACGCATACACGTGTACATACTTATATATGTATGCATATGTATATCCACGAGTGCATACATATAGATCTATGCATATAGGTATTCATGTAAACAAACACATATACGTGCAACTACGTATGCATACGTGTATTCACACATGTATGTGTATAGACATACATATATACATAAACCGATGTGCATACGCAGAAGCAGCTACATCCACATACACAAATACGTACATCTACCAAAGACAAGCGACAAGCATCCGGAAGGACACGCGGGCAGAAGAGTGCGCCATTGGCAATTCTTCGTGAACTACAAAACATATACGAAAAACGGAAGGCCTCACGACTGCGAAGCAGAAAATGGAGCACCCGACTGAAGCAGAAGGCGGGCTGCAAGACTGGAGGAGGAGGAAGGGGAGGGGAAGGAGGAGGAGGAGGAAAAGGGGATACTGACTACAATTACAAGATAAACTCAGACCTGGCCCTATACACAGATACAACAAATATGAGGCCGCGTGGATCACAAGCAGTAAGCTATTGCACAGTAGATGTACAAGCTATGTGGTGTGAGCTCCGTGGTGCTATCTACGTGGTGCACGCTATGCGGTGCAAGCTATGTGGTGCAAGATATGTGATGCAAGTTACGTTGGGCGGGCACGGGCGGCTACGGGGCGGCCAGCAAAAACATGTCGGATTACCCACCACAAGAAGAACCCCCTAAGTGCAAGCACTGCTCAGGGAATGTGTAACTAGTGTTCTTCTTGGGATCAAGGCGACTTCGTCAAGCTGCGACGCATGCCGCTCAGGGCGGCTCTCGGCTCTCGAGCGCAGTCGCTTACGGTTGGGGCGCACGCCTGCGTTGATGCTACCCCTCACTTTACCTCCTCGTCCTCCTCCCCCTCTGCGTTCCCTCCCCCGCAAAGATCCAACGTTGGGAGATTCGGGGGTCAGACTCTGTCCTTCTCCGCCTGTGTCCTAATCAGCGAGATGCAAAGCCAGAAAGCCGATCGCCCTGCAATCGTCATCCTCCCCCCATTAAGAGGCCTCCCAAAAGGGGCCAGAGCAGATGGGGTCAGAGGATCGCGCCGCATCGCTGGCGCATCGGCGATGCATCGGCGACGGCAGGGTGAAAACCACAAGGCTCCCTATCGCGCCGCGCCGCCGATACGCCAGCGATGCTGCGCGACCCCCCGGCCCCACCTGCTCCCGCCCCAAGCAGGGCGGCCCGGGCGGCGGAGACGAAGGACGGGGAGGAGGAGGAGGAGGAGGAGGAGGAGGAGGAGGAGGAGGAGGAGGAGGAGGAGGAGGAGGAGGAGGAGGGGGCGGCGCAGACACTCCTCTCCTCGTCCTCCCTCCTCCTCCACGGGCGCGCGCCTGCTCTGGAAGATGGCGTTCATGTTGATCTGTCCGCCATGCTTCGGGGAGAGCCCCGGGTAGGGCCCGAAGCCTCCCGGCCCCCGGGGGGGGGGGGGGAGCAGGAGCGGCGGGGAGGGGAGCGGCGGAGCCCGCCCCGCGGTGCGCTGGCCCTCGGGGCGACGACGAGGACGACGACGACGACGACGACGACGACGACGACGACGACGACGACGACGGCGGCGGCGGCGGCGGTGGCGGCGGCGGCGGCGGCGACGACGACGACGACGAGGACGACGAGGACGACGACGGCGACAACGACGACGACGGAGAGAGAGAGAGAGAGAGAAGACGACGAGGACAACGACGACGAGAGAGAGAGAGAGGAAAAAAAAAAAACATATATATATATATATATATATATATATATATACTCCGACGGAAGGACCCCACATGATAATATGTTTAGCTTGCCCTTCTCCCTTTCCTCCCGGCCATGGCAAACACCCTCCTCTCGCCCTCTCCTCAGCCCTCTATTCTTTCTTTCTCCCATCCCCCTCTTTCTCCTCCTCCTCCTCCCCCTCCTCCTCCCCCCCCCTCCTCCCCTCCTCCTCCTCCTCCTCCTCTCCTCCTCCTCCTCCTCCTCCTCCTCCTCCTCCCTTTTCCACCTCCTCCTCATCATCGCCCTCCCCCGACCCCTTCCCTCCTCATCCTCCTCCTGCCTCTTCTCAACGTGCACCCCCCCTTCCCCCTGGTCGGGGGCAGCAAGTCGGTTTTCCTCGGCGCCGTCGCCGCCTCGGCCAGCACGCGCGCGTTCGCCGACGGCTAGATCGCGAAGCCGTCGGGACAGCCCGTCGGGCCAGCCATGCCTTTGGGGCAACCCCGCGGGCCGCCGGGGCGCGAGGGCAGGCCGTCGGGACAACCCCGCGGGCCAGACCGTTGGGACAACCCCGCGGGCCTCCAGGCGCGCGCCGCGGCGCTCAGGCGGGAGGCAGCACGAAGCCCAGCTCTGCCGCGAGCTGCTCCGCCTCAGCCCTGGAGTCCACCGCTTTCTTGTCGAACTCCCGGAGCGCCTTCCGCAGGGACGCCGGCGGCCCGCGCCCCAGGAACTCTCGCGCTGGCGGCCGCGGGATCAGCATGTTCCGCACGCACGTGGCGCGGGAGAACATGACGCAGAGGCGCAGCCACCACTGCTCGTCCGACATGCCCGCGCGGCCAGCGTCCTCATCCCTGGCGCAGTCGATGGTGACGCACTTGCGCAGCGTCTGGCCTTGCGACAGCGTCGAGGTCAAGTAGGACGCGCGCGTCAAGGTGAACCCCGAGCGGCGCACAGTGTGCGCCCCCGAGCTCTGCCACGTGAACTGCTGCTCGCTCGGCCTGAACATGAGCAAGTTCCTCGCCCGCGCCTTGGCCTCGCCGTCGTCGTCAGCGCCCTCGGCGTTCTGCAGCAGCACCTCGGCGACCTCCTGGTAGATCGGGGACTCCTGGAAGCCGTGCACCTGCAGCCAGATTCCCCGCGGCAGGCAGCGGGGGCGAAAGAGCTGGCCCGGCGCGCACTCCTCGTACTCTCGCTCGTCGTCTAACTGAAACTCGAAGGAAACGATGATGGCCCGTTGCTCTTGCACGAGCCCCAACTTCTTCTTCAGCTCCTCCTGCACGGCCGTGAATCGCACCCCCATGCCGACGTGGGCCGGCAAGACGCAGTGGATGTCCCCCGTATTGTGCATGTTCGGGACGTTCAGGAGGCGCCGACCCGCGTCGGGATCGCCCTGAATCGCGCCGCACTCGTCCACGGCCTGCAAGAAAACGAAGGGCACGCCCAGACGCCGAGCGTCGCGACGAGCACGCGCGTTGATCCACCTCGCCAGCGTCTCCCAGTAGATGCCCATGCCATAGCCGAGCAGAAAGTTCTCGTTCTGGTGCCGAGGGCCCAGGACGCCCCGGCTGTCCAAGGCCAACGTCTTCTCCCAGGCAGACCAGACCTCCGGTGGGAAGGGCCTGCCCTCACGCATGCAGCCAGGGAACGTGATCAGAAGGTCCCCGGGCTCGAAGCGCTTCGCGCCCTTCAGCTCGAAGACGCAGGGGATCTCAGAGAAGACCTCGATGACGTGCTGAATCTCCACCGTCGGCGGCTCCGCGTACCTGTACGACCCGTTTCCGTCGTCCAAGCGCTCGCTCACGTCCGTCGGGAGCCCGATGCTGCCGGTGGGCTTCAGCTGCAGGAAATCGCCTAGGTGCAGCACGATGGGGACGCGCCCGAAGTGGTGGCACGGCCGCTTGCAAGTGGATTCCTGCACGTCGCGCGTGTCACTGCGTCCGTGGCAGGCGCGAAGGTCCAGCGCGTTGCACAGAGCTGCCGCCGCCATGCTGGCCTCCTCGATGACCAGAACGCGGACGTGATCCCACAACAATTTCAACCTCTTCTGCATGCCCCCCGGTCTCATCTTCGCGTTGATGTGTTTCTGGACTCGCAGGGCACAGGCGTTGTGCAGCGCTCTAGCCTTCACAGTCTCCGCGGAGATGTTCTTCGCCTGCGCGTTCGAGAAGGCCACGACCATCATGGCGCCCTTGTCCGTCGACGACGGGGCCCACAAATACTCCACCACTGGGAAGACGATCTCTTGCACCACGTGAGTTTGCCCCGAGCCGCCTTGGCCCAGCAGGAGCAAGTGCGTCACTTTTCTCTCGCCCCAGGGATTCTTCTGCACGTCGTCCTCCCAGGTTTGGTCGCAGGCCTTGGCGAACCTTGCGACGAAGAGCGTCTGGCCCCGCGTGAGTCTCTGGTCCTCCGGCAAACCGTCGACCAGATCGGCGATGTACGCGCTGGGCGTGGAATACACTTTGCCGTCAAATCTGGCCGCAGTGGGGTCGGTGCCCAGGCCGCCAGCGCTCTCGTCCGCGCCGTCGTCGGCGCCCGCGTCATCCTCGTCGCGAGTGCCCTGGAGGCGGTTGTCACGCAGGCTCGCCCAGGAGTGTCTCTCCTCGCGCGCTGCGGTCACCAGCGGTCGGCACCCGGCCGCGGGAGCAGGAGCGGCCGCGGCCTCCGTCGGCTCGGGCACGCCCGCGCCCTCGCGGGCCGCCTCGGACATGCACGGGAGCGCGAGGAGCTCCTTGGCCAACTTCGCGAGGCGCTTGCGGTGCGTGAAGTTCAGCACGTCCGCCATGTCCTGCCCCCCGTCGATGCCCCACGTCGGGACCGGCTGGAAGTGCGCCTGGACCTTCGAGGGAGGCGCGCCCGGGTGCGCCACGCCCTCGCCCGCCTCGGCGCCCTCGTCGTCACCGGCGCCTCCACCGGTGGTCGCCTTGAGGTACGCGCTCTGCACGGCTGCGTCGCTCTGGTACTGCCGGGGTTTCTTTTCCTCGCGCGCCCAGGCGATCCCCTCGAGGTTTGGAGCCACCTGCATGGCTATCATGGAGACGTACTGCCGCACCGTCGCAGTACCACCCCCCGCCCAGACACAAGGGGCTACCCCTGCGCCCGGCCGCTGCCTCGTCGTCGTCGTCGTCGTGGTCGTCGTCGTCGTCGTCGTGATCGTCTTGGTGTTGTCGGGCACGCAGGCCCATGACAACAGCAAATTTGCTGACGATCAGCTCAGACGAGGCTACCCGCACTTCGCTCGCAGACAAAGTTCCCGCCTGACACTTCCCCCGTACTCATGCCGCAGGAGCTGAGGAGCCCAAAAGCTCGCTCGGATGACTCGCTCGGATTACCAACATGAAATGCGGGACCCATAGGGAGAGACTCCCGCCTGAGACTTCCTCGCAACCCACTCACAGACGAGGCTCCCGCTTGATACTTCGTCCACAGTCAGGCCTGAAGAGTCCAAAAGTGACGACAGTTACAAGAATCCGATGACCCGCCTCGGATTCGAACATGAAATGCGGCCCCCATAGGGAGAGGGTGCTCCCGCCTGGGACTTCCTTGCAATTCACTCACAGACAAGGCTCCCGCCTAAGATTTCCTCCACATTCTGGCCTCAGGAGCCCGAAAGTGACGACAGTTACAAGTTTGAGGATGACCCGCTCGGATTACCAACATGAAGTGCCGGCCCCATAGGGAAGAGGCTCCCGCCTGAGACCTGCTCGCAACTCACTCACGGACAAAGCTCCCGCCGGATACTTCCCTCCATATTCAAGCTTCAGGAGCCCAAAAGTGACGACAATTACAGGTTTGAGGATGACCCGCTCGGATTACCAACATGAAGTGCCGGCCCCATAGGGAAGAGGCTCCCGCCTGAGACCTCCTCGCAATTCACTCACAAACGTGGATTCCGCCTGATACTTTCTCCATACTCAGGCCTCAGGAGCCCAAAAGTGACGACAGTTACACGTTTTGGATGACCCGCTCGGATTACCAACATGAAGTGCGGCCCCCATAGGGAGAGGGGGCTCCCGCCTGAGACTTCTTCAGAATTCACCCACAGACGAGGCTCCCGCTCGGCACTTCCTCCTAATTCAAGCCTCAGGAGCCCAAAAGTGACGACAGTTACAGGTTTGAGGATTACCCGCTCGGATTACCAACATGAAGTGCGGGACCCATATGGAAGGGGGTCCCGCCTGAGACTTCCTCACAATTCATTCACAGACGAGGCTCCCGCTCTAGGCGTCCTCCATATTCAGACTAGGGAGTGAGTGATGACGAAGTGATGAGTGAGCGAGTGGTGATGAGGATGATGCTGATGATGATGAGTGGTGATGATGATGATGAGTGACAAAATGATGATGATGGTGTTGATGAGGATGAGGATGGTAATGATGATGATTGATCGAATTATGATGATGTTGTTGATGAGGAGGATTATAATGGTGTGAGTGTGAATGAGTGTGATGACTATGATGATGGTGACGATGACGAGGATGATGATGATGATGAGTAGTGACGATGGGTGGTGGTGATGATGATGATGATGGTGAGTGAAGGGGTGCGGGGGTGATGAGGGTAGTGATGATCAGGATGATGATGATGATGATGATGATGATGATGATGATGATGATGATGATGATGATGATGATGATGATGATGATGATGATGAGTGATGATGACTGATGATGACGACGGCCAGAGAGAGGAAGAGAAAGAGAGAGAGAGAAAGA